CGACTGCCTAATGGGACAGTATAGAGAAGACAGAGCCAGACTGTCTTGAAGCCAGACAGGTCTTGCAGAGGTAGGATGATAGTTAACAAGTTGGACAAGTTGGAACACTGCAAATTGCAACTAGTCAGAAGTAAAAATTTTTTACCCTTAGGGTGATCAAATATTGGAACAGATTAACCACAGTGGCTATTGTATTGCTGTCCTTGGGAATATTCAGAACACAACTGCAATTGTAGTAGGTCAGCCCACATTCATGACGTTGTTCAGATCTTGTCCTCCTGTTTGTGGCAAGCTTTAAGAAAATAGGAGTGTACAGCCATCTTCCATGTCCTTAAGGGTGTCCAGAAGGGAAAAAATAATAGGTCTTTTAAAAAGAGGAAATACTTTTGAGCATTAATAAAGATCCTGTAGAAATTCAGGCTGTGAGACAGTTTGTACATAGTGCGTCGTGAGCAGAACTGCTGAACCATAAGTTGACCTGCACATTACAAAATACAGAAAAAACATTGATCCTTTAGGTCATAGCCTGACAGCTTGCCTCTTTCAGCAGATACAAATCTAGACCTGTCGTTTTTATTTCAATCTGCTTGCATCATCTGCTTGCCTGAGATCCTGCATTCTCAAATTGTGACAGTTTGGTGTGAGTTACTATCTGAATAACTAGGGATTGTACAGGACTGTGTCCAGCTTCATTCTTTCTGTCTTCCAGAAGCCCTGTATATATACAGATGAAATTAGTGTAAGGGTTTCTTGGTGAACTGGAAATGAATCCTTCCAAATCCCCCTTAGCATCAGAGAGTTGTTCCCAATTTGATTTTCTCTTTCAGGGAAGCCCCTGCAACGGGATGCTTCCGTGCTGGTCCATGTGGTTGAACTGTCTTAACAGGACACTCGGATGATGGTGAATCAATACTTGCAGAGTACTTCAGAATTAGAGGAGAAAACTGATTCCTCCAAATCTCAGTTTCTGTTTAAACTTGCATTATATCCAGATTGGTACAGTGATCTGCTATTTGCACAGTTCTTCACAATTTCCCAGTTAAGGCACTGATTCAGCAAAGTAATTTAGCACAATTTAGCACATCAAGTATGTAAATGGTTCCTTTAAAATCCATGCTGAATGAATAAGGAGAAACTCAAATAATTGAAGAGACAATAAAATAGGCTAAGCTCATTCTGAACAATGAATTTGTGTTTTCTAAGGCTTCATCTTTGGCCATGATTATTTTGTTTTTAAATAATTCTATGGTTGTGATCAGGGATGGTCAGATTGACTGTCCTCAAGTCTGCAAGACACAAACATTTATGTAAGGCCTCCCCTTGGCAGATGGTCTTTCAGATTTCTGTGGTGCACTGGGAGAGCTATTTCTGTGGTCTGTGCCGCAGTGCAGGCTGCCATAAGAATTCACTGTTGGAGAAGGAATCACAAGGAGGTCAGGCAGTTATTGATAAACATATGTAGACTACTGAGAAGGTCAGAGTCAGGGGCCTCCCACTGAAGCAGCCTGCAGAGAACTATGCTGTTGGAAAAGCCACTCTGGTTCATACTAAAAAATCTGCCAGGAAAGAGAAGAACAAGGAGGAGAAAAGAAAAATCAGGATTTGGTGATTGAATTTCATTTGTACAGTTAGTTATCAAATGTGAGAATTTCACTGGGATTGGTGTCCAATATTTTAACATCTTCAGATCTTTTTGTAGATTGAAATAAATTCATTTTTCTGATGGAGTACACTTCAGTTTAAAGGATATTTGGTAGTGCCAAATCCCGTGTTTAAATAGTGTCATGAAGATAAAGCAAAATAAAAATGCTAGAAGTTTTTTTATTAAAGAAATTAATAATTTCAAATGGTCTATAAACCAGGAATGCACATATTTTGTAAAAGTGATAGATGTAGGATTTCTTATCTTCTTTATTATAAGGATTGCTTACCCCTCAGAAATGAAATTAAAACCTATGTCAGATAATCTGCAACGAGTATTTGTTATATTGAGACATGTAAGAAGGAATAGGCTCAGAACATTCTTCATTTGCTTAGAACCTATTCTTTTTCCAACATTTTTCATTTTCGGTAATCTCCAGTTACAGCAGAGCAGAGACAGAGGCCAACTGTTAAGGTTTCTCTTTTGTACTGGATAGTGATGGCAGAGTGAGAAATAAACCATGATCTGTGACCAAAGGCAGACTTGTAATTACTTGGATATAGCGATAATTGGCCTTAACACTGTAACAAATGCTCTGAGTTTGCACATCTGAAGCCTGCCTTTGGATCAGTTTTCTTGTTTACAAAATCAGCTTGCCTTTATTAGCACCAAAATTGCCCAGTAACAGAGTGGTGATCAAATGAGGTTCACTGTAAAAGAAAGGAAGAAAAAATATGTATGTGATTTGACCGTGGATTTAAACATGTTCCTGTGGAGGGCTGGAGTTTGGAGGGGAAATGGGTGGAGTGAAAATGGGAGGTGTTGACTGATTTCATTTTTACTGTTTGAGAGGTCTATTGTTTTCTCTTCTTACCTGGTGTAAGTTTAGGCTCCTAAACAGGGGATCCAAAGGACAAAAAAAAAAAAAAAAAAAAAAAAAAAAAAAAAAAAAAAAAAAAAAAAAAAAAAAAAAAAAAAAAGCCTAAAATCAGTTGACACAAAACCTCTATCACACACAGTTATGTACAAAATTGATTTATCCTAATGATCCTCCTTGTAAGTATTTGTCACTCACTGTAGCTTTCAATATTTGAAGATTTTGTCAACCTGAAATTGGGACGTTAACTTTTTCCTAAAATACAGGTGTTCTTCCCCCTCCCTGCCTCCCCCCCATCCCGCTCGAGTAATAAGACTACATCCTTGGATCTCTCAGCATGCATTATTGCCATTGCTTGGTGTTCAACACCCTGTTCAGAGAGCAGATGAGACAGTTATTCCTGCTGTTGCTGATTTACTACTACAGCTGCTTCCTCTTCTTGTGATTTAATTTGAAGTTTCAGCCCACCAGGGGGCTAATGGTCCCCACCGATGCAGCTTTAAAAGCTCGCTGTTGTTTTCCACCGGAATGTTATTTCCATTCCAAGCCAGTGATTATTTTTTTTTCCTCAGTGTTCATCTGGTAACTGTGGGGCAGTATTCCATTAGCCATTTTCATGAAAAAAAGAAAAAGGAAATCCAACCCAAACCCTGTGCAACTCTTTAGATTGAAAGCTTGCAAATGAGAATTACTCTGTTACAGTAGAAACTCAGCAAATCAATAAGTTGTGTAGTGTTCTTATGGATATTGGAGACTCATATAAAGAAACCCAAAACTAAAAAAAAAAAAACAGGACCTTATCAATCATTTAAATTCCTTACATTTCTCTTCTTTTTTAACATACAGCATATAAAATTCACTTCTTTTTTCATGTGTTTCAGGAAAATGTAGGGCAGGCAGCAAACCCAAGAGTATGTTTCATGGTGGGTACTGCCTGTGGTGAGATGAATTCCAAAAACATTAGCAAGTGCACTGAAATCCACAGTGTAATTGTGTCCTGCAGGCAGATTCTGCTTAGGGAGCTCAGTTTGAGTGTGACTACAAACTTGGGACTGAAAATGGTTGACCAAAGAACACTTAGTACTTCAGGAATGTTTTACACCAGACTTCTATCAAGATACAAATTGTACATCTCCCTCACAAGCCTATTCTTGAAGCAAAACATAAGAAGTAAGAAGTTTTCCAGTTAACCTTAAATTTTTAAGTATTTTTCATTCCAAATAATAAATTACCTTGAAAACATTTCTGTGCCAACAGGATTAACTTTGATGCACTCCGTGACTTGCTCTCTGCTGTTATTGTTACAGTGTGAATTTAAGAGTAGCAGTCTTGAATTTACATTTTGTAGAACATTTGGTTTTCTAGGTTTATTGCTTTTTATGTGATTGAAATCAGTGTATGTGCTTAAGTTTTCCTCGTTTGATAAATTTGTAACATAAACATTTTACATTTTCTGATACATTCTCTGCTGGTCCAAAGTGTGCTTTGATGAATTATGCACCTTCTAGTGTTTGATTATTTCTTTTACCAGTACATGATTGGTTTTAGAAATTTAGCTCTTCACTGAGTTAATGGTATCTTATCTTGCTGTGAATCACAGGGTGTTTTCTTCACAGACACCCTGTTTTTGAAGGTGTATTTCTTGCTTTGGGGTGGTAAGGAAGAGTAGAGGGGGTTGCATTGCAAAAAGGATGAAAGCTGGGCAGGCTGGCAGAAGTGGCTGTGTGAAACCTCAATGCTTTCAACTATTATTAAAGGGTGGTACAATCTTTCTCTCTTTGGGTAGGAGGATATTATTACCAAATATCAGTGTTCAAGGTTGCTATTTACAATATAAATCAACTGCACTACTTCCTAAGGTTCTGATTGATGGAAAATGAAGCATTAACTGCCAGGAAACAGGTTTTCCCATATTATCACTCGGTTGTGCAGTGGTCACTAATCTTTTCAACACAACATTAATATTGCATTGCTAATTGTATAATTTAAAGAATACAAGATTTTAATAGTTACTTCAGGAGGAATGTTAATCACAGTGCTTTACAGCTGGTTTTGCTCACTGGAAGCTTACCAGTTAATAAGCTAACTACTGTAATAACCATTAATGCAAACTCTGCTTGGGTGATGTCTCTTGTGGTGTTTAATGAATTAGGCTCAAAAAATAAAACAGAGTATTAAACTTGTCTGACTTGCTGTAGAGGCAGCACAGAATTAGTCATTGGCTGTGAATGTTAATCACTCCACAGCAATGATAATTTACAGCATTGTTGTAGCACTCTTGTGCTCATAAAATGAACTTAATAACCCACTGCTACCCATGGGATAAGCCTTCCTTCTCCTTCCCTCCCCTTTGCAATTGAATACCCAGTCTGGCTGCATAATAGCCATGTGAAATACTGCATTTAAAAGAGTGAGCAGCTGTATGATAAAATAAACAGCCCTAAAACAGATTTGTTAATTATCTCTTTCTTTTATTCACAGAGGGTGTTTGTGAGATATGGCTGACCAGTGAAGACACAGGGGCTTATGGCAGAGACATTGGCACAGACCTCCCCACGCTTCTGTGGAAGCTGGTTGAAGTTATTCCTGAGGGAGCTATGCTGAGGCTTGGCATGACAAACCCTCCCTATATTTTAGAGCATCTGGAGGTAAGGAAGAAAAGGAATCATTTATATGCCAACATGGACATTCATTGAGTGAGTCAGCATGGAACCTTGTGTGAAATGTCTTTCATTTTAAGCAGTAACTTAAAAACATAATAGACTTAAAATACATTTGAAACATTAGACTAACAGTGTAAAGCCATGTGCCTGACACAGCAAGTTATTGAGCTAATGAGATCTTCAAGTAATTTTGGAATTATAATATTACTGAGATCTCTGACACATAGGACTTTATTGTAGTGATTGTTCATTTATGTGTATATCTAGTGTTTCCAAGACCTAAAGGAAATGTCATTTGCAAGTGATGGACTATGGGATTGAATTTTTCTTCCTTCTGCACCTCAGACAAATATTTTCAGAAACACTATATGGTGGTCTCATTCAGTGATGCATTCATTATCGTATTTTTAGCATGTTTAGAGCTTACATGATAAGAAATAGAAATGTAAGTGTATGTCTGTGTTTAAAATAAATGTAACAAATTCAATGAAATGAGAAATATATAACAGTTTGAATTTGAAAGAGTAGCTTATTCATGCAGAGGAGGAAATGAGTTTCTTCTGAAAGGTAGGTTGGTTTTGATGGTTTCTGTCACCAAATGAATTTATTGAAATTCCTAGAAACTGTTCACAGAATGAACATAACTAAGAGGACGAAAATAAGAGGGAAGGGTGTAGTTGAAACTAAATTTTGTAGCCATGTGCATGTTTAATACCCAGATAAGTAGCTGGTATCCATGCTGCTTTCCCAAATATAATATAACATTAATAGTTACACTTGTGTTTTCTTAAGATGTCAAGGACAGTATTTTCTCATCAGGGTGCTGTAACTGCAACTTTGTGTTTTGTGGAAGCATGTGGGCCAGAGGAATCTCATCTTGGTAGGAATAAGCAGGTTTTCACTTCACCAGCTAAAGAATTTGAACTGCAGAAAGTTAAAAGAAAATTCCTGGGTTGTTATTTTATTCTTTGGTTTAGCATACACTTCACTAAGTGAGAGTTTTAACTCAGCACACTGAATAGGAGCCTTTAGGAAGCAGTGTGGTAGTGTTTTTGAGAATTTGCATTGTGTCTGGGACTCTTAGATCTGCCACAAGCTTTTCTTCTTTTTGTATTTTAACATTTTTCAGCATCTTATACAAAAGCAAATCAAGCTTTTAGCAATTTTCACAGTTAGTTCCTTTGCTTTCATTTTTAATTCACATTATTAAAAGTATTTTGGCTTAGACTGCTGCTTTTGTCACAGCTGGTCATTGTATGAGTGTTCTCAAAGCTTTAAAAAAATAGAAAAATCAGTTGCTGTAAATAACAAACTGCTCTGCTGAGATAAGGGGCACTCTTGATATAATCCAGGAAAAGTGGAAAGAATGTTGCTTTCCTTCAATCATAGTAAGTGTGAGCATGTCACAAATCTGTAAATTTATATCTAGTCTTTCTGTTGCTAAATTTTCCAGAAGGTGCTGTAGGTAAGACTTACTTTTTTATCAGACTCATATTTAGGAAAAGTACTCTTACCTCTTTGAAAATGCATCTTTAGGTGTTATGGCAAAGGCAGAGGAATTAATACAAACACATGGAAAATATGTGTCTTAAATGTTGCTGGGCAAAACGTGTTTGTGTGCACCAGCCGTGTTGTGCAGTAGCAACATCTGCTGTTGCTCATCCTCTTCAGTGTTCCATACAGTTTCCAATTTATATGATTTTTCTAAAGATTATTTAATCACATTTTTGTGTTTCACGTGTGACCAAGAATTTCTGATCTTGAAATTTTGTGACATAATTTTGCTGATTTGTCAAACTAAATTACTGAATTTTTTTTTTTTTTTTTTTGTTCTGCAATTTTATTTAGTCTCCTCTTCCGAGCTTACCCAGACTTTTCTCTGAATGATCACTGGAGAATGTAGGCAGTCTCCTGTATACATTTTCACCAAACAAAATAAAGTTTTTATGGGCAATATGCTTTTAACTTTCCAGTTAAGGAAAGGGTAAAACTGTAATTTGTTTAAAAAACCAAAATCAAGTGAGAAGCTGAGTAACCCTCATGTCAGTTGATTAGGAAAAAATCCAGATGTAGATCTGTTATATCCTAAAATATGAAGATGTGTTGTGTGTTGCAAATGTATTTCACTAATAGTTTTAAAAGAATTTTAAAATTTTATTTTAAAATTTTATTAATTGATTGATTGAGTTTATTAATTGATTTTTAAACTGCATTTTATTAATTGATTTTTTTTAGAAGTCATCTTTCTAATTATGATGTTGTTGGCTTTCTGTGAAAAAAATTTACCTGGGAAAATGTACTAATCTTGTGTCACTTTTTGTATGCAATACAAAGGATAAAGTCATTCCAATAATGTATCTTTTTTAAAAGCCAGACATTTCTGGCATAAAATTGGACACATGCAACTGCTCGGCAGGGGTTTGTTTCACTTTCAAAATGATGTGTGGCATAGAGAAACAGTAATCTTCTAAATATAGAAATTAATTTTGTGATCTGGAGAGAGCTTCCCTAGAGACTCAGCCTAAAAGTAAAAATTTGGATTTGTTCATTTTTCTTCCATATTTATTGGATCTTACCTGCAGGTGAGAATGTTTCATTTGCCTCAGTGTCTGGGAATCAGTTTCATATTTTCTACTAAGTGGTAGCCAACAGCTCTGCTGTTCTGCTGATAGAGGCTAGCACAAGGAGAGGAGGAGGAAGAGGAGGAAGACAACTTCCCCAGGGACAGGAGTGGTGGGATTAGAGCAGAGGAGGGGGCAAAGGAAAGCTGTGAGTGCTTATAATGGGCATTAACACTCTTATGCTGGAAAGCTTGGTAGATCTGGGGTCCTGGGTCAGTGACCATTTGACCTTAAGTTTGTTTCAGGTAGGGAGTCAGTTTAAGTTGTTGCCTTCAGGTACTGGTGTCAGAAAAATGCCATTCTGTACTTGAAGATGTTTGTAATTTCAGAGGATACTGTTAATCTCATGAAAATACTTACTATGCTTGTGTTGTGCAGTCTGACATTTTAGTACTTCAGTTTTTAATTCATTAAATATGGTGGTAGTAGTGCCTGTGTAGCATGAATAGTCTTGGGATGAGAAGCAAACACATTTTCAAATTATGAATTCTGCATTCACTTGGGCATTCTTGTCCAAAGAGAAAGATATATATGGAACCATGCAATGTTTTATGGTCATGCAAAATATTAAAAACTTTTTGGCATGCTGGATGCACATCTATGTTGTTACAAAAAGAACCTTTATCATAATTATTCAGGGTATAATCTAAAGTACTAGATTTTTTTATCTGCTGTTTTCTTTAGAAAACAGATGATGTCTGTGCTTATATTAGAGTATAGTACGAAGTATTAAGAGCAGATGGGAAAAACACAGAATTTGGTAGTGAAGCCACGATATCGAAATTTCAATATCGTACATTTTGGAGTCTTTACTTCAAAATAAATGTAATTCTCTTAATTAAACTTTCCCACTACCTGTGATCTGAAGCTGTTTGAAAGACATACCAGTAGTTTGAATCTGGCTATTTCCACCCATGTGGATGGGGTACATTCATGATGAACCTGGAGTATGGCTACTGCTCTGATTTCCTTGGAAGCTAATTTAGTTTGTCTAATACAAAATTCACCCCAGACTGAATGAACCAGTGGCTGTGAAGAGGGCATGGGGAACTGCATTTTAAAATTTCACTGCTGCTTTCAGTGGGCATGTCAAAGTGAACACAGCACTGGAAGGACTTCTCCAGTGTGAAGTTTGTTGTTATGACAGTGAGAATTATTTGGTGTGTTCAAAGAAACTGAAGGACCAGAGACTCAAATTCTTGGTTGTGGTACTAAGATTGAGAAAGAAGTTGGAGTTTGGTTGACCTGCAGGAGACATCCTCAGTTTTTCTCTCAGAGAAATCCTGGCCAAGCAATGGAGGTAATACTACATTTTCCAAAGTGTTCTCACAGTCTAGCAGTGTTTGAATGGATACACCATGAAGCATATAGCTTGCTTATTTCAAGGTTGATCTCAAACTGAGATTTTGAGACACACCCTTGCTCGGTGTCTGTCTTATCTTAAAATGTTGATGCAACATGATGTTTAGGAAAACTTGGTATTTTATCTACATGGAAGATGATTTCAATAAACAGACATGGACTATGGCCAGGGAAAAATAATTTGCCCCAGATTTTTTTTTTTGTTTTATATAATATGAAGGAAAAGGTTAGTGTTAGAATACATTATATAGTCCTAGAAAAACCTGCAAGGAGTGTATGTGTATGTGGTTACCTTGTGTGTTCTTGCCCATATGTCTTTGCACAGAGCTACTGCTCTAGTTACACAAACTGCCAGATGTCAAAGATTTTATCACCCCATGGTATCAACATATAGCAAAAGTACATAAGGAATACACCCTGCTTTAGAGGTAACCTCCAGACATTTTTTCCCATCATATTATGAAGCTACTCGCTAGTGCTCTGGTGAGACAGTGTTAACATCCACTTTCAGTGACTGATGGAGAGGGAGGGCTGGGAAAAATCCATTAAAGCAATGGTAGCATATAAACGATGAATGGGAATTAGTCTGAAAAGTAAAAAATAAGGTGCGATGTATAGCAGCTTGAAATTAATGTTCATGGCATAGTGTTAGATACTGATTTTGCCTTGACTGCATTTCACTTTTCCTTAGGTTGAAACTTAATTTTCTTTTTAAGTATCCGGGGCTCTGTCCAAATCACAAGGGACTCTAGATCATCCAGACTTAAAAGGGCAAGGGACTCACATCTCATCCTTAGCTTGCCTCCTTCATGGATTTGACATAATCCCAGAGTTGTCTGGGATTTTAGTTCGGCACTTTGTGTGAGTGATGGGATGCTTCCAAATCTGTATAAAGGAGGCAGTTCACACCTGCCATTCCCGTAAGTGCTTAATTTCACATGACTAGATGAGTAGTCGTCTTTGTCACCTGTCAAAATGAGTCTGTCTCAAACCATACTATAT